ACCAGGAACATCGTAATGCTTTTCTAGAATATTTCAACAGAACTGTTTCTAACTTTGCCACTGACTGTTGTACCTTCTGGCATTTCATTTTTAACTTCTCAGAAAAAACTACCTCCATACAAAAATCCATTCCTGATGAGAAAATTTATGATATATTTAATAACATCAAATCCAGATATTTTTGCCTTTTACCTGAAGCTAATTTTCACTCCCTATCTTTTCAACAATGTAAACATAACTTCTTTATTTCCTTTTCCAATGTTAAGTCTGCCATAGATAGCCTAAACAACTTTAATTATAGTCCAGACTCAATTCCCGCACATTTTTATAAAAAGCTAAAAGCAATATCTGCCATTATTCTATCCAGACTTTTCACAAGTTTATTAACTCTAGTTACATTCCAAATCGATGGTTAATTTCTAATATAAAAGTTCTCCCCAATAAAGATAGTTCATTTAGACCAATAACTATTCTATCAGCCATGTTAAAATATTTTCAAAATTTGCTTATAAAATAAAATCTATACCCAAATTACCTCCAGATTTTTCCCTCATCAACACTGTGGCATCCATAATCTTTTGACTACCACCAATCTTCTTGAATCAAGTTATAATATTCTGCAAAATTTTGAGAAAAAAAGAAAATCTACCTACATAATTTATATTGACATTTTCCAGGCCTTTGACTCAATCATCTCTAATTTACTACTTAAGATGCTAAGTGATTATTTTGATGTAGATCCCACTCTCTGCTGTTTGTTAAACAATTACTATTTATCCAGACTATGTAAGATTCATATTGGTGAGTTTGATTTTTTTTCCTTTTTTCCCTATATGCAGCATACCACAAGGTTCTGTATTAAGCATGCTTTTTTTCAGCTTACCTAGATAAATTACTGATCAATCCATACTTTAAAATAATTGCCTACACTGATGACATTAAAATTTTATTCAATGATCCCTCTCCTTTCAAGCCATTATTAATTCTTTATGTTCCACATTTGCCAGCTATAATCTAAAAATCAATATCCATAAAACTGTTATTATGTGCGCAATCCATACAACCCTTCCATATTTATCAATTCCACTAAAATAAACTATGTTCTGTCTCATCCCGACCTTGGTATTATATTTGATGAAAAACTAATATTTCACGAACATATCGCTTATATCATTAAATCTGTTGCCATTAGACATGGCTTTATCTGGCATTTTTGCAAAAATATTTCTTCAAAATCCGTACTCAGAACAATTTTCTTTACTAATTTTCAGTCAATAGTCGATTACTGTTTACCCATCTGGGCAATGGCTGCTCCTTATTTGCTTCAAAAAATACAATCTGAATTAGATAAAGTTTATTTCCTGATACGTAAATTCTGCAATCTACCCTTTACTGATAACCGCAATGTGGCAAGAGTTCACCTTGTTCTTCCTAATCTTTCTAATCGTTTAAAATATTTTGATCTCATTCTCTACTTTAAATATTTCAGTGGTCTAATTTCAAACTACTGGTTAGGTCTCCGCATTCCAACTGTAAGAACCTGCAATACATCATACTTTTTCATCCTGTATTTTCGCCTTTCTCTCTCACAAAGATTTTTTTTTTTTTTTTACTGTATAACATCTCATATACAGCCTGTGGAACCATACCTATATTGCGATTTTAATTTTTTTAAAAATAAGTGTAAATCTATTTTGTATTATACATAATGTAACTTTTGTTTTGCTATGTTTTTAATTTTTAATGTGTCTTTTATAATTTATTATTATTTTATTTTTTATTTCTTGTTTTCTGGGGGGGTGGAATACAATCATCTGACATTTCCAACTGTACTAGAAATAAATAAATAAATAAAATATACCAGTAATTGGCTATTCCTACTTTTTTATACCAGGAAATGCATTTGGGTCAGAAATTTCATGAGTGAGCTTATTTAATATGTTGTTTCTCAGCCATTCTCAATATAGGCCTGGCTGAATTTCTCACTATGACTAAAAAACAGCTCTAGATAGAAAGAGCCAAAACGAATAGTTATAAGTGATAATAGTGATAATAACTAGTAAATTTCTTACTGAATGCACCCATTGTTATGTATAAAGCTATTCTCCTTAGTTTTGACACTTTAATATTGCATTGATCTTGTTAGCAGTTAAAAAGTTTTAAATTAGTCTTTTTATCTCATCAGAGAGAGAGAAAAGACAGTTTGATACATGAGAATTAGAAATAGTATACTTTGGTTTTATCAAATTAGGATTGTGTTTGTTATAGAAAATAAAATTAGTCATTGATTTCAAAGATTTTCTTGTTCATAAGTTTGAAAGTGAAATTTTTGATGCATAAATAAATTTATTCTACAGCTTTGAAATTTAAATTTCTTCATTTTTAACAGTTAAAAATAGTAGACTTTACTTGTCTCTTGAAAATTAGGTCAAAGACACTTACTGTATGTTGCAATTGATTAGTATCAATGATTCAATATGTTACACATTCTTATTTCGTTCTTTCTTTCTGGCAGTTGTTGGACTATAAGAGAACTTCAGGAAGTAGAATGTAATACATTTAAATACTACTTTAAGAGTATATTTCAATATAATTATAATTATCTGTAAGTTTATAATAGTAATTTGAAAGAGTTGTAAAGTAGAAGTTCTTAGGATTTTATATGTATAAATTAAGCACATCTTACTCCTCTTTGGGCTGTATTTATCAAACTTTTCATTAGATCATATGCTCTTCTATGATATTGCCGAGTTTTATTTGACTTTTATTAAATTGTAAATTAATTATTTTATAAAATTTAGACTAATGATAGATTATATTGCTACCAGACAAGTTTTTTTATAATTTGAATAAAAGCTTTTAATTTTTAGAATATTTTGAATATTTTTAAAGTAGTAAAATTAGTAAACAGAATTATTATGATATTCAAAACCCTTGTAGAGGCATCTTTTGCAGCTGATTCTTTTATCATATTGTCAACAAATCTGTATCAGAATTACTGTAATACTATTTAAAAGTTTAAAAAGAACTTTTTCTAGAGTTTTATTAATTTAACTGTTCAAATATGATAATTAATTAGCTTAGCTTATTTTATGTATAAGATGGACTTATTATAGTAATATAACTCTCTGTAAGCCTGATAGTTACACAAATATCAGTTACTGTAATAATATATCTGTCAAGTCTATTAATAATTAATATAGTTTATAAAATTCTAAATTTCTATAAAAATATAAATTTATATTCTACTCTGTTTGACTGCTTCTTAAGATAATTTTCATAACTAGAATAGTGGAAGAAGAGATTTTATTTTATTGTGTTTGTTTCATACTGCAGTTAAATATCAGAAAACATTATAAACAAATAACTGTTATGCATATACATATCAAAGCCTAAAGCCAGATATTGGATTTTTTTAGCCATATATTTAAGTCAAATTTTGATATTAATTTAAAAAACAGTGTAAATATAGTCCAAAAAAGCAACAATATTTGGCTTAAGTTTGGAAATAACTTTCATTATTATGCACTGATCTAAATTACTTTTGAATGTTAGTATAATAATGGATGACACCATTACATTTCCTAGATTCCCAGAGTCCTAGATTGTTCCATTTATTACTATTGTTTTTTTGGATTCCTAAATCAATTTACTGTAAATTGCAGTAAAAATGAGTAAAATACAACAGGAGTTTAGTCTCAACTACTTTTGATAATACCAGGTTTGATACCCAAGATAACGGGAGGCTTACATGCAATATTCACAGTCGAATCATGCATAAATATATTGGATAATCTCTTAAGCATTTGCATGTTTCAATATGTGACACAAGCCTTCTGTTGGATACCAAAATCTTTAGTGTTATTAAATTTAGCTAAGATGAGGCCCTGGAATTACTACAGTTAGTCGAATAATTAGTTTAATAGCTGTTATATTAATAGAATTTCACTGGGTTATACATCATAGTTTGATATTTTAATACTTTTCAATAATTTATTAATAAACAAACTTTTTTATTGCAATTTAGATGCATACAAATTTAGTTTTTATTTAATTAACAGAGTATTTTCTACAAAAAGCTTTAATACATAATTAAAATTAGTGATTTAAATATGTATTTATTTTATTTTTTCTTTTCCGATATTACAATAGTCAGTTTAAGAGTGAATAAATAATTATCTAAACTTAAATATCTTAAGCTTATTACATAAATGCTGATAAAAATCAATGTTTATGTAATGAGATTAAAGCATATAATCTCTCGTAAAAATTTTATAAACTTTTAATCTCTGGAGAGAATTAGTAGGTAAGGTCTGTAAACTAAATGCTGCTTTAAATTAAAAGAAAAAGATTATGAAATGATTTTTAAAAGAAAATGTAAATGCATTATGCAATATCCTGTAATTTAACATTAAACAAGTAGTATTTTGACCTTCCTCTAAATTTTTCAAAAATGGAGAGAATTTTCCTGGAAGAGAGAAAGGTCAACATGGAATTCACAAGTGTTTTCCCATCTTTTGTTACTATTTTTAATTGTGTTGAATGTTTTCCACTTAGTAATTTTCAAAGGAAATGATTCAGAGATGATAAAAATTTACGTTGAAGGATGTGATGAAACTAAAAACATCCTAAATTTATTAAAATGTATTGGCAAATATATATGTTTTGGAATAATAAAACATACAAAAGTTAATATATTATATTATATACAGAATTCCTTTGTATAAAAATACAAACTATAAAAAATTGCATTTTTAGCATAAAATATTAAGTTTTTAATTATTTTATGTAAATTTATTAAATTTTTTTATTAACAGCATATGTTTTGATTAATAGCAATATTATAGCTATACTTATTATATATAAAGTATGTTATAATTAATGTATTTTAAACTACTATATATAATGTATTTTTTTTCCTTGGAAAATTGCCAAGGATATATGCTATTTCTCTTTAATTTCCTGGGAATTTATATTGAAATTTTATTGTATCTATTTAGGTTTCTTTAGAAAATAAGCAAGCAGATGTAACAGTTGATAGCAGTGTCATTACCAGTGCTGAATTGATTAGTGCTATTGAAGATATGGGTTTTATAGCAAGATTGTCAAACAATTCTTCCAATATTAGAAAAGTAACCATTCAGGTGGAAGGTATGACGTGTAATTCTTGTGTTAAAAACATTGAAGGAAATATATCTCAGATGGAAGGTGTTGAAAGAATACAAGTTTCTCTCGCAGAAAAATTAGCAACTGTTGTATTTGATTCGACGCTGACAAGTCCCGAAATGCTATGCTCAAAAATTGATGAGATGGGTTTCGTTAGTAGTCTTCCGATACAGAAAGAACTTCCGTACAACCAAGTAGTTACAATTATTATATATATAGAAGGTATGACGTGTCATTCTTGTGTTCGCAATATCGAAGAAAACGTAAAAACTAAAGCGGGTGTTCTGAACGTTAACGTGTCGCTCGAGAAAAAACTCGCCGCAATTGAATATAATCCTTCTGTCATTAATCCTGAAGAACTGAGGACCACAATAGATGATATGGGTTTTGAAGCTTCATTATCAAAACCAAATTTACAAGCAGTAAATAGTAATGCCATTCTGGCAATAGAAGGAATGACCTGCATGTCTTGTGTAAAAAATATAGAAAGTAATATATCAGTTATTCCGGGTGTTATTAATATTGAAGTATCTCTTGCTGAACGTAAGGGACATCTTCAGTACCAATCATCTGTGATATCTGCAGTGCAAGTTGCTGATAAAATAGAAGATATGGGATTTAAATGTCATGTTATAAATGATAGTGCTCAAATTAATGGTGTTCTTCCTAATCAAGTTTTAAAGTTAAAAAGTAAAAATCATTCTCCGTCAAAAGATAAAGTAGATTTAGGAATTTTGGTTGCAAGTAAGTATATTTTTAAAACTTTTTAATGTAAAATTAAAATCATATCATTAATTAATCATTTATTTGGTTATAATAGTAAGTAAGTATAATCATTATGCAAGTCTGAAAAATGTAGATAAGAAGCCTGCACACTGTCAAAATTATCTACAGCAGAATTATTACATCAGAACTGAATTAGATTAAATTATCTGTAAATGGGATGCAGTATTATAGCTAAAATGTACTCATACAGACATTAAAGAAATATTTGAGAACCTGGATCTATTAATGTGTATGATATACTTCATTTTTAGGTTAGACTTACTTATCAAATGTAATGAAATTATATAATAAAACACCTTTAATTTTATTTAAAAATATATTAAAATGTATTTTATTAAAGCAAATGTAAACCTGCAATTACAATTAAAATTGCTTTAAGCTTCTTTAAAATTTACGATGTTATGGGAAGTTACCGGTGGAAATTCTTTTTAAAACTGTTTGCTTTTCTTTTATGTACCACACTAAAGTGGCTAAGTTTTATAAAATATGTGATGTACTATGTTTTATTGACAAAGTAATCTTCCACAATTCACCTAAGATAATGTTGAATTTTTGTTAAACAAGTTTTAGTTAATCAGGACTCTATTCTATACCTATTTACCCGAATATAAGACACCATCAAATCTAAGTAAGGCACACCTTAATTTCTACATACTTGCTCATGGACTTTTATTTTTTTTGAAAAAAATAGAAGTTGAAACAAAGTTATGCCAACAGAATCAGTTCTGTTCACTTTGAATTTGTTCAGTTATTTATTACACCAGTGTTTTTCAACCTTCTTGAATACACGACCCCTTTATAAGTTAAAAAATTCCAGCTACCCCCAGGGCCATATTAAAACTATATCGGTGGTTTTAAAAAGTACATACTGTATTTAATTTTCTTTCTTTAAATATCAATTGAAAAACCAATTGTACTGTAAAATAAGCAGGCACAGCCTTCTAACTGAAATTTTAGATTTTTTTATTGTAGTGTAGGACTTACAAACACTTGTCTTTTTCTTTTTCACCCGCATCCCCCGTATAAGGCTTTGCGACCCCCCTGAGGGTCACGACCCACAGGTTGAAAAACACTGTATTACACAATAAAATAAGTTGTGTATCACTGTTTTCTGTAGTGTCAATGCCAGAAACATCCATGTCACTTTTCAGGCTAGGCTCTTCTGAATTATCATTGGATTTGGTGCTCACATCTTGCTACATGCAATCATCCTCTGTGCCATTTCTTCATGCAACATTTCTTGAATAAGTACTGTACAAGTATTTTTGGAATTTTCATTGAAGTGGCATTACAATAACAGACTAGCAAGATCAAGTTAAGTTGATCTCTTAAACATTTATTGTTACAAATATTGGTTTAATAAAATAATCAAAATGACACAATAAAATTAGTACAGAGATATAAAATGTATGGCACTAGACTTTGCTAATTATGCAGTATTACATCAAATCTAAGATGCCATTGAATCACCGTATTTTCAGAGATACTAAAACCTGAAAAAAGGTGTCTTACATTTGAGTAAATACAGTATATAAATTTGTTTTTCTTATGCAGCTACAGCACATAGTGGCATCACTAAGGGAGTGTGAAAGTGGGCACGTGCCCCTATGGCTATGAAATGAGCCTGTAGAATTTTTTTATAATTAATGTTGAATCAGGTACCAACTATGAGTGTTGCCTCAGGCACCAAAACTGTTTGGCACAGCCCTGGCAGCACATTAACCTCTCCAGTTTTTCTCATTGGAAGTTGGTATCTCATAATCCAAATTATTTTCATTTTTGCTAAGTTAATTTTTTTGTTTTCCTATCTCATTCTGCCCTGTTAGTACTAAGGAGACTTTTTTTAAGACCCGCCATAGTGGCAACAGAGTAGTGAGAGAGGGGTACCCAATACATCCAGAATGAATCACCCATTAAAAATTCCTGGGGTTGCTTGCCTGGATTTGATTCCTGGTCCCCAAAGCAGTATGCTAATGCCTTAATGTATGGCTGTTGATGTGAAAAGACTGCTTTAAAAAGTTTACTTGCTCAAAGATAATGGTAACTATGTATAGTTATAATTAAGTTCATTTTAACTTGCATATTTTAAGACTTGTTAATTCTGATAGCATTAAATGACTGATAACAATATCCGAGATTTTAATAAGCAAATTCTGCCGTGTGGGTGTATTTATATTTATATACATATAAAATAGTGTGTGTAAACTAACAGAAATAATTTATATCCAAAAAATTATAGAATTACTTAAGAATCAATTATAAGTGAAGAAAGTACGTAAAAAAAAACTTTTAAAATGATTTTTGAACAATGATCGTATGTAAAAATTAATTCCGTTTTTCCAGTTTTGTAATCCAGTTTTTCTGGATCCTCGTAACATCTATTGTATTCTCATTCTAAATTATAGCTTTTTTGATATTTTATTTATTTAGTTTACTTATGAAGTGAAAGATGTATTTAAATGTAATCAGACAGTTTAAAAAATTAATCTATACTTTATCAGGCTGCATGAAAGGTCACATATAGCTCAAAGGTCATAGGTTCTTCACGTATGATTTAGAATTAATATGGATAAAAGATAAATATAATATCAGGAACTTACGTACCATGTGCATTTAATTTACATCACACTTGAATGGTCTCTTAAAATGTATCTATTATATGCTGTTCCAGTTTATAACAAATATATTAAAAAGGTATTATTTAGTTCAAGGTAGTTCTTTATTCACAAATATATTACAAAAGTTATAATATTACCTTAATTACGGTTATTTTCAGAAGATAATTGTAGTGTTTATCACATAAGTGATATTCCAAGAATCATTTAAAAGTTAAAGAAACTCAAAATAAAAATATATATTTTCTCATTGTATAATTGAATATGTTCTCAAATTCATCAAACATTTTGTTTGGATTGGCACTGATAAATATTCAGTCTTTTAAAAATAAAAATGTCTTTATGTATTTCCTCTTTCAACAAATTTATAAAATACATACTGTAAAAAATAGTAAAACTGGTAATATAAAATTTATCAAATTCTTTTACAGTGGTACCTCGTTTATCTGGCTCAAATGGGACCAGGGGCCATATTCTGGTCACTGTCTCTGGTCTCTTGTCTCTTGCAAACTGGTCGCTGATTGGCTAATCCAAATGATTAGCCAATCAGTGACTGGCTTACAAGAGACCAGAGACAATGACCAGAATACGGCCCCAGGTCTGATTTGGATGACCAAAATCTGGAAAGTTGTTAATAATATAAATAACACAGTTTATAGACTTTTTATTTTATATTTTTAGTTTCTTCTCCAATGTAACAACCACTTTCTTTCTTTCCTTTAGATGCCATTTTCATGGTGTTTACTGGATTTCACACATGTTTGATGATGACTGAAACTTTGCTAAACAATAGAGGCTTTAGGATGTTGAGTAAATAATAACTCGTGCAGTAATAAACAATAATCTTGTTAACTAACACATTGACTGTCATGAGAAGCACAGCATTTTTATTCAACAGGAAAGTAGCAGTTTTTTAAAATTGAAAATCTTAAAAGATTAGAAAAGGTTCAACGAGATATTAAGTAAATTCAAAGAACACTCTCTCAGAATTCATAACAATGAGCATCAAATGCTGATTCACAGGAAACAAGTTATTCTTGTTACACTCAGACAAGAATTTAGTTAGGAGTTATTTGATTTTTTGCATTTATAGGTTTTTTGTATGCATGTCTTTCTGAGATAGGGATTGTGTTTTATAATCTGGATAAATAGGGTTCCACTGTACTTGTATATAAAGAAAATGTATAGAAGTAAAAAGAAATAAAGAAAATGAAAAGATATGTAAAAAAATAACCAGTGCAAAAATATTACTAGTTGATAAGTATTGATGAGAATTATAAAATAAAACAATTCAAATATACAGTATCAAAATGGAGGGCATATATAGATTAAACACAGTGAACTCTAGCATAATGTCAGTCTGTTTCTATTAAAAGCTAATAAGACGCTCAACAGAAAATAAGTTTTAGTTGATAATAAATATATTGCAATCACATTATTGTATCTTAAAATTAGAGTAGAGTCCTTAAAATTTGACTTTTGGTAACTCGACATTCCATAAAACTTGTCATGTCATTAAAAAAAAAAAACTTATGTGTAATCGAATTTTAAGGTTTATAACCTTTATAACTTAACACTAGCATCAAATAAATTAGTGTTCTTCACTGACAACACTTGATAATAGCATAAATTCTATATGTTAACAAAGAATACAACCCTTCTTTTTTCCAAGGTAACACTGCAAAACACACAATGCAAATGTACCCACTCCAAACTAGCCACTGATTGGGCAATATTTTTGTTTCTTGGGCTGCAATTTGAAAAAATTGTAAACCTGTAAATTTTCATTGCTGTCCATCCCTAAATCTTGAGAATGGACATAGATAGATGTAAGTAGAGACCAGATACAGAAAGTTTAGGGGCAGGAGGCCACGATTAACTATATACAAACTTCCAGTTCGGACCGGAAATCATGTTATTTCAATTCAAAAATTTTCCCTAATTGGAGTTAGATACATGACTGGCATGACACTATTGCTAACAGGAAAAGTATGATGTACAGGGGCTTGCTAACAGGAAAAGTATTATGTACAGTACATACAAGCGCACAAGACATTACTAATTTGAGGTGGAGAGCATATAATTGAAATTAAATAAATTAAAAATATGATTAAAAATTGCAGCCCGACATTGTGATAATGCCACAATAATGTGAGACTAATCAGGGGTAGGATGTTTACGAGGATGTCCCTCTCCTACCACTTATTCGACTCAAGACCTTGAGGTCCGGTCTCGCTTGTCTAAAGGATGGGAAAAAAGGGTTAGGAGAAAGGATCGTTAGATTCTTTCACCTGTCAGGATCTGACACCAATCTATCAATTTATCGCGGATAGATACGCGGATGGATGGGGAATTATCACGAGCGATCTCGTCGAGGACTTCGGGTTCAGTATGGAGTGGAAAAT